GCCCCCCGGGCGGGCGTTGGGGGGGGGGGGCGCAGAAGGCTGCCTCTGGCCCGGGCTTGAGCTCTTCGCCCGAGGGGGCGGCAGCGGGGGGTGGGCGAGGCGAGGCTTGCAGCCGCCGCAGCCCCCTCCCGCCCCCGGCTCCGAAGCGAGCCTTTTCTATTCCCCCCCTCCCGGCTCCCCGCTTGTCTTTCTAGCAGCGGCGGCGGCGCAGAGCGTTTCCTGCGCATGCGCAGGGGACGCTCTGTGTGTTTCGTGGGGATTTAAACATCCCCCCGATTTCCCCCCCCCATTTAAGATTTTTGTGCACACGTGGGGACTGCCCCACGTGTGCACAAACCTCCCCCTGCCCCCCAAGTGCCCCCAAAGTGCAGATATAGATATCCGCACGGAGGGGGCAACTTGGCTATTAGTATAAGGATATTGTTATGTGATGTGATGAATAGCGGAATGTGATGTAATGTGGAATGGTCGGCTGGAATGTATTCCTCAGGTCTGGGGACAGGCGAGATAACCCTACACAGCCAGTCGCCCCATCTCAAAGAAGATGCTGTAAGGTCACCTCCATGCTTGATAGGAGATGGATGGAGTATAATGGCAGGGTGTCAGTTAATTACCCTCAGCATCCCACAATTAAGGATACATCTGCCCACCAATCTCCAAATTTGACATATTTATTTCCTTCACTATGTCCCCCCCCCCCCCGAATGACAACCATATGAACTAAGCTTATTATTCCTGTTTGGTCCTTGACTCTGTTAAGTATTGTCATTAGGCTGTATGCTAATGCTTGAGAGGAAACAGATGGAGCATCGTGGCAGGGTCTGAGTGAATTACTCTCACAATTAAGGATACATCAGCTCATCAGTCTCCCATTCTCAAATATTTATGCCCCCCCTGCCCCAATTAAACCCAAAACAAACAGTAACCATATAAAGAAGAAGAAGAGATTGGATTTATACCCAGCCCTTCACTCAGAGTCTCAGAGCAGCTTACAAACCCCTTTCCCTTCCCCTCCCCACAACAGACACCCTGTGAGGTAGGTGGGGCTGACAGAAACTGCTCTTTTTCAAGGACAGCTCTGAGAGAATTTATGACTGACCCAAGGTCACACCAGCAGCTGCAAGTGGCGGAGTGGGGAATCAAACCCGGTTCTCCCAGATTAGAGTCCACGCTCCTAACACCTACACCAAACTGGCTTGTTATTCCTGTTTGGTCCTTCAATCTGTTAAACATCTTCATTATGTTGTATGCTACTTTACTGCTTACCCTCTACCTATATGTATGGACTGGTAACTTCCACTTCATTGTATCTGAAGAAGTGGGCGTGCCCACGAAAGCTTGTGCCTTGAATAAAACTTTGTCCTACAGGTGCCCTTGGACTTGAACTTTGTTCCGCTGCTTCACGGCTACCCTCCTGAATCTATCTTTAAGAAACTGTTAAGCTTGACAGCTTAGAGGATCTACTTTTCAAGCTTCAAGTTGGCATTCAAATTCGGGGGGGGGGGAGGAGTACTTACGGTTGTGCCCCAATTTCTCGCAGATGGTAAAAGAGCTGTGGTAGATGTGTCTGGAGAAGAGTCTCAAACAGCAGGCATAACGACACAATGCCCTTGTTTCAAAACAAAAGAACAAAAGAGAAGTGTTTTTAATGACAGAGTGGGGAGAACATGGTAGATAATACAATTTAAAATATGCACACGCAACTGGCCAAAGTATTGGGATTTGAGTCAAAAGCAGGGCCTGGACACACCAATTCACACTGTGGCACCATTAGGAGATCATTCCGTACCTTTCAATTACCTTTAAGAGGACTACTCCCCAACAAAGACACAAACTCACTCTGTTTTTAATATCAAAGCAGAGGGTCATGATCGCACCACGTGCAACAAAATGCAGCTGCAAGAGGAAGCCATCGGACTCCCGGGTGAAGGCTGTTGCTCCCGGATCAAGACCCCTTTCCGTGACTCTCCGATCCCCCTCAGACCCCGGCTGTTTGCAGGACAGTAGCCCCGGCTTTCCACGCGACTCAAAAGAATCCCTCGTAACGCAGGCTAGCCCAGAAACTTCATGAAATACGCAACCAGGCAGGACAATCCCATCTCCTGACCCATTACAAATCTCCCAAGGAGGATATGATTCATTTTGGCCACCCCTGAGGGACCCTGGACAATGGCATCGGTCTTCCGTGCTGCTGCATGAGGTCTAGGACGCTTCCTGGTTGTAATCCCCTGGCCATTGTCCAAGAGAAAGGGATACAAGGGGCTTCGCTAGCCCTGTCTAGGGCTGCCAAGTACTTACCGAGAATCAGGGGGGGACACATAGTTCTTGGCAGGAACATTCCCGCACGGAAAACACATGTGCCCCACTATGCTGTCGCCCAGATGTGACATCAGCACGCTGGGCATGTAGCCGGGCGACACTCTGGCAATGGGGCTGAAAACTCGAGTTTTCAGCCCCACTGCCAGAGTGTTGCCCGGCTACGTACCCAGTGTGCTGGCGTCACGTGTGGGTGACAGCATAGTGGGGCGCGGGTGCGTTACACGCAGGAATGTTCCGGTCAGAAATTCGCGGTAAGTACTTGGCAGCCTTAGCCCTGTCGTTCTGACTGGGTTTTCATCCTCAGACCTTCTTCCCCTGCTTACACGAGATGGCATCCCTGCCGCGGGACAGGCAGAGTATGAATTCATTTCTCCTGCTCTAATTCCTTTCCACAAACCTCACTTCCTGTGTGGCCTTCCCTTTCTTCCCCACTTCTTTGCTCCGGCCTCCTCGACTAGCTGACCTTAGTGGCCTCCGGTACCCCACAGCCCCTCCCTCCCAAGAGGGGACTCCTTCCATAAGAACAGAAGGGGGCCCCTGCTGGGTCAGACCAGTGGTCCATCTAGCTGAGCATCCTGTCTCACACAGCGGCCAACCACTTCCTTTCCCCTGGAGGGCCAAACAAATAGGACATCGAGACCAAGTGCTTCCCAGCCCTCGGTGTTCAGAGGTTTGCTGCATCTGCCCATGGAGGCATCCTCTTCCCATCCAGAGAGCCAGTTTGTTGTAGTGGTTAAGTGTGCAGACTATAATCTGGGAGAACTGGGTTTGATTCAGAGCAGTTTCTGTCAGAGCTCTCTCAGCCCCACCTACCTCACAGGGTGTCTGTTGTGGGGAGGGGAAGGGAAAGGAGTTTGTAAGCCACTCTGAGACTCCCTTGGGTAGTGAAGGGCGGGTTATAAATCCAATCTCTTCTTCTTCATCATCCATCCTTTCCCATTTTGCCATATCTGTGCAGCAGCATCCAGGAGGAACACGTTATTTTGGCCTAACTTAATTCAACGTGACAAAGTTTGAGTCCAGGGACACCTTGAGTCCAAGGCCAACAAACGTTTAATTCTGGGTATAGGCTTTTGTGTGCATTTGTGTGCATTCGAATTATGGTGCTGGAGAAGACTCTTGAGAGTCCCCTTGGACTGCAAGGGGATCAGATCAGTCAATCCTAGAAGAAATCAACCCTGACTGTTCCCTGGAAGGCCAGATAATGAAACTGAAGCTCAAATACTTTGGCCACCCAATGAGAAGGGAGCACTCACTGGAGGAGAAGACCCTGATGCTGGGAAAGACTGAAGGTCAAAGAAGACGGGGACGGCAAAGGATGAGATGGTTAGACAGTGTCATCGATGCAATGAACATGAAACTGAGCAAACTTCAGAGGACGGCGGAAGACAGGAAGGCCTGGCGTGATCTGGTCCATGGGGTCGCGAAGAGTCAGACTCGACTGTGCGACTGAACAACAACAACGTGCATTGTGCACACTTGTAAGAATGTATGCGCATGAAAGCTTATACCCAGAATCAAACAATGTTGGTCTTAAAGGTGCCCCCACTGGACTCAAACTTTGTTCTGTTGCTTCAGACCAACACAGCTGCCCCCACCTGGATCTTAATTCAAGAAGGACACTTCAGATTTGCCACTGAATGCTACTGCGAACAGTTGGATTGCCATAACTAAACTGCTACGACTTTGTATCATTTAGCTGCCTAGAACCGATCTGGACTTGAAAGCTGCCTGTTTCTCTTCTAACCAGGAATACAGCGTAGCAAAAGGCAATAAAGTTACCATTTTGTTAAGCATCTGTCTCCTTCCCCTTATTTCTCTGAAAGTAAATTAAATCCTGCTGTGTCTCTATGTAATACAAGAGATAGAAAATCCCCCTGGAACCCGTGCCCGGGACTTCTACACGGAGGGATGCTCTCACACGCATATCCTGCCACTGGTCTCCTTTTGCTGGCACAAATAAGAATATTCGGCACTAAAACAAAAAAAAAAAGCTGGATGCTGGATACATTTTGTCAGGGGTCCCCAAATCCTTTTGAGCCTGTGGGCAACTTTGGGATTCTGACACGGCACGGTGGGTGCAGCAGTTACAAAATGGCTGCCGCAGGAGGTGGAGACAGCCACAAAATGATTGCCGTAGCTTTACTTCAGTCACACGGTGCAGACTGTTGTGTTGTGGTGGCAGCTGCCGCCAAGGCAACATTTGAACAAAAAAACCTGCAGGGCAGCCAATCAGATCTCCGAGAGCCATTCAAAGCCTTGCTAAGCAAAAGCCCTATGCAGCCCCAGTCGCTTCTCGAAAACACTTGGCGGGGCGCCGGAAGAGGTGTCCACAGATACTGTGGCACTCACGAGCATGACGTTATGGACCCCCTGCATTGTGTTGTCAGGTTCTGGAAGAGACTGAGCCCCTTGATGGCACTCGCTGATCAGTGATTTGTTTATTGAGAGACGTACATGCTTCAAGCTAAGACTATTCATGTCAGGACTGGCTCTGCAGGCTCCAATTCTGATGTTATACAAGATTCGAATATGCCACACACACACCCCCGGTGACCCATCCAATCACTCTGCACAACCAGTCCGCCTAAAGTCCCCTTATATCGCTATGCCTCCTTCCCCCCACCTGCTGTTTATCCATTTGTGGCAAGCAAAGGCAGACACCCAAGGTCGTGCACAACCTATTTCCCAGAAGGGGCGGCATCTTAGAAAGCGGTTACCAAGCGACAGAGCAAAGTGCAAAGTGCCCACTCTCCCACATCCACCACCCCCCCCCCCCCCTTCATGCCCCTTACAGGAGATCCAGCAAACACATGGCAGATGAAGCTCCGAGTTTGACATATGTAAATCGAGAAAAATGTCCATGTTTTCCCAAAGTGCTAGATCTCCACTCTACAATGTCTACTGTTACGTAGTGTTGCTGGTAAGTAAGAGCACGCCCCAGTCTTCATATTTTTTCCTGAGTTGTCTACAGCTGGGAAAGACACAGTGCCCAAGAGAGTTCTCTCCATGATCGGCAGCCTTCTCACCTGACAGTATCTCCCCCGCCCCGCCTGGCCACAAAAAGCTTTATCAAGTGTCAGGAAGCATATGGGAAGAGAGGCAGCCGGTCAACGTTCACCTGATGCTTCCGTCTCCCTGCGATAAAACCTTCTGAGCGTGATTGGGGCCTCCCGATCCAGAACTCCTGGACAAGGAGTGAGGAGAAACTAAAAAAATTACACCTGCCAGAACGGACATCCACAAGGGAGATGCGGCTCCAGAGATTCTCTAAGTTTTAGCCTTGGTGGCCATTCTCCCTCTTCCCATAACTTGGGAAGTTTGTGAGGAAAAGGGAGAAAGGCAGGATGCAACTAGAAAGATAAAAGGGTTGGAACAGTTTCCCCATGAAGAAAGGTTAAAGCACTGGGGGCTCTTTAGCGTGGAGAAACAACGGCTGAGGGGTGACATGATTGAGGCTTATAAGATTATGCGAGGGATGGAGCAGGTAGAGAAAGAAGTGCTTTTCTCACTTTCTCACAAGACAAGAACTGGTGGGCACTCCATGAAATTGCTGAGCAGTCGGGGTAGAACAGATAAAAGGAAGTCCTTCTTCACCCAAAGAGTGATTAACACATGGCATTCACTGCCACAGGAGGTGGTGGCGGCTACAAGCATGGACGGCTTCAAAAGGGAATTAGATAAGCATATGGAGTAGAGGTCCATCAGTGGCTATTAGCCACAAGGTATAGATAGGGGCTCTGGGGCAAGCGATGCTCTGTCTTCTTGGTGCTTGGGGGGGGGGTCCAACAGTGGGAGGGCTTCTAATGTCCTGGCCCCACTGGTGGGCTTCCTGATGGCACTGGTATTTTTGGCCACTGTGTGATACAGAGTGTTGGACTGGATGGGCCTTTGGCCTGATCCAACATTGGCGTCTCTTATGTTCTCTTATGTTCCCAGAAGGGCTTCTGATTGCTCCTCTGAAATCTGATTGGCTGTAAAGATTCAAATAACATTCCAGTGGCAGCTACCACTATAGTGCTTGTTTTATTCTCTCTCTCTGACTCTTCTTTCCCAGTGTGTTTTTTAAATCCACCCCTCTTCTCCCCTGCACTAGGGCTCCTCAGGTGGCCCTTTTGTGGTTGTGCCCATCACGCTGTGTCAGAGTTCAAAATGTACCCACAGGCTCGAAAAGGTTGAGGACCCCCCTGATTCACCAATTGCCACCATAAACGTGGTGCATCAGGATTCTTTGCCCTTACTCCCAAAAAGGCCGTGGCTCAGTGGCAGAGCTCTGCATCCAGAAAGTCCCAGTGTTTTCAGTTAGAAGATTTCAAGTAATGCAACACCTGCCCAAGACCTTGGAGAGCTCTTGTCAGTCAGAAATAGAATCATAGAATCTTAGATTTGGAAGGGACCTCCAGGGTCATCTAGTCCAACCCCCTGCACTCTGCAGGGAATTCACAAATACCTGCCCCTCCACACCCCCAGTGACCCCTGCTCTATGCCCAGAAGAGGGCACAAAACAAACCAACCAAAAGAACAGAGAGTACTGAGCTCTGTGAATCAAGGATTTGACTCAGGCTCACATGACACAGAAAGGGAATTGTTGCAATACAAATGAGATAAACATCATTTAAAAAAAAAAAAAAACAGAGTCCCATAAAATAAGGTTTGCTTATATGCTCATGCTGGGCTTTCCGAACACAACAGGATGCATGAATGGACATATTTTGCTTTCATTATCATCATCATTATTTTAAAACAGGAGATACGGGTTAAATCTGTTCATCTTAAACTTACGGAAGAATGAGAAGAGATGGAATGAAGCCTGAAGAAATAGCGCACGTATATTTCACGGAATACCTGATACAGCTTGGAAGGCTCATTATACAGAAAACAAAGCGGAGCAACTGAAATGGTAAAGAGAGATTAGTTTTCGCCAAATGGTCAAATGCTAAAATGATCCAAATGACAAAATGTATGAAGAAGGACAATTAAAACAAACAAGATGACAAGTTATATCTTTGGAGAGTGCCAAAATCCTTTGCGGAGGAAAGTACAGAAAGGGCTTCTCCACATTCTCATTTTCCTTGCCGGTGTGTTTCTGTTGCTTCAGGATTTTCTTTCTGTTCTGCTTGTGTTTTTGCTCCATCTAGTGGTCGATTCGATATTACACTGCCTTATGTCCAGCATATCTCCCTGCAGATTTAAACTGCAGGTTTTTATGGCAGCCATAAAGTGATGTAATATTGAATACACCACTAGAGGGAGCAAAAAAGCAATATGTACACACCAGTGAGGAAAATGAAAATGCGGAGAAGCCTAAAGTCAGAGCTGTTGAATTATTTGTTTATTCATTTGTCCTGATTTTCCTTTTCCCCCTACATTTCATTCAGCTACTGCATTTATTCACATATGGAAGTACGATGGGCAGATTCACACGTGCAACCTATCTTGGAAATGCCAGTCTAACAGCTATCCAAGGTTCGCTTGGAAGGCAAGGGTGGTACACAAAAAGCTTTCAGCTGTGTCCATGTGTTGCTGGGGCAAAAACTGTCGCAGATTTTTATATTACTTATGTGCAATGTTCCCTCTAAGCTGTAGAGTCCTGTGAGCAAAAATTCTACTTTGTGAGCTACCGGCATTAAAGTTGTGAGCAGGTGATTTGGCTGCTGCATAAATTAGTGTGTTCTGGAGCCGTCCTTCCTGAACTGAGACAAAAATGTGTGAGCCGGAGGCTAAAAAACTGTGAGCTGGCTCACACTAACTCAGCTTAGAGGGAACACTGCTTATGTGTTACATCTGCATACCACACTTCTAGAAAGCCACTCACGACCCACACAAGGTTTCCAGGCAGCCTGTCATTCATGTCATGGCCAGACCCAGGTTCCAGTTACACAAAGAAAGTAAGCTAAAAAACTGTGTGGCAAAAAAGCCCACTCCAAACACTTTGCCACAGCAATCTAAACCAGCTTCTTTATTAATTATACCTATTTTTTTAGCTTGGATGCTAACACTGAAGAGTCACCTACCGTACATTGAAAAACCGTGGAAAGGGATTACACCTGCAAAAGAAAGATGCTCCGTTTTAATAAACTGCCTCTCTATGCACCTATCGGTATGGTTCCCACAAAACATCACATTCCGAAGCCTGTTTCTCCCATGAGCATGACCACATATTTAACTTTATGGATGTGAAATGTTCCAGTGGAAATGGCACATCAGGCATGCACGGCTTGTGCCCCACCAACCCCAAATCTGAATTTGGCCCAGAAGCACAATAAAATCTTCTGACTTTGCTCCCGGACTGGCTTTGTAACTAGCAGGGAACTTGCTAAGCACCTGGCAGGATCCATGTGTGCCTGGCAAGCGACACCCATTCCATTCAATTCAGAAGTTGTATTGTGTTCACTCAGAAGCGATAGCAAATGATATCATTTACTGTGCTGGAACTGTAAACAACACATCTGCTACGGCAAGTCACAAAGCTGCAAATGTTTGCTCTAGACACCAACACATGCCTAAATACCTGCATAAAGCATTGAAGTTCTGTAATCCATTATAAGTGGTTTCAGCTTCCACAACATGATGGATTCCTCTACTGCTCATAAGGTATTCTTGCTTGCCAGTTTGGTGTAGTGGTCAGGAGCCTGGACTCTAATCTGGGAGAACCGGGTTTGATTCCCCACTCCTCCACATGCAGCTCCTGGCGTGATCTTGGGTCAGTCACAGGTTCTCTCAGAACAGTTCTCTCAAAGACAGTTCTTGGGAGAGCTCTCTCAGCCCCACCTACCTCGCAGGGTGTCTGTTGTGGGGAGGGGAAGGGAAGGAGAATGTAAGCCGCTCTGAGACTCCTTCGGGTAGTGAAGGGTGGGGTATAAATCCAATCTCTTCCTCTTCCTCTCTTCATCGTTAAAACAGGTAAAGGTTTAAAGTTGCTAACAGTACTTTGAAGCCAGTACTGCAGCAGTCCAACCACCCTGTCATGAAGTGGGCTGTGCCACCAGAGGCCTACTAGGCCCAGGGAACCTGGCTAGCAGTAGGTGAGGCTGGGCCTACAGCTCCCAGAAGCCCCTGGGACCAAAACTGACCAATAGGGAAGAAGAGGGCTGGGGAACAAAAGAGCTGGTGCCAGAGCAGAAGTTGTTCTTTTTCCCAGAGGGCAGAGCCAGAAGGAAGGCTGCTGCAGGGGAGAGACCCTCATCCTGAGGGGAGGGTGAGTAGTCTAAGGCCACTTGAGATAGTGAGCTAGGGACAGTATATATTTAGACGCGTTACGGCATTTGATTTCTTTTCTTTTCACCCACTTACTGTTATTATTCTGCACCTTGTTGTTTGACCTCCTATACAATAAACCTTTTCCTTACTCTGCCTGGTCCTCATGCCTATTATTTGGCCAAAATGGAGGTCTAAAGGTCTTGGGAGGGTGCTCTGGGCCTCCTCAAGGGAGCCTGGAACCAGAGTGGTGGCAGCGTCAGGTGACACCCCACCTGAGCCTTTTCTCCTATGAGCAGGAGAATGCTTTGTTCATGCCTGGAGGAAGCTCTCAGCATGTTTCCCTCCACAGAAGTGAACAGGAAGCCTATTACGGGATACCACCCAAAATGTAAACAGGCTCTCAGAACATAAGCTGGGAAATCATTCCAGGAGCTGAAACCTGATTTTAAATAGATCTGTATGTCAGCAGCTAGGAAGCAGATGGGAATACAGGAGGGCAGTGTGTGTGCTCTTGTGAAGGTTTCCCTGCTACAGCATCCACACATCTTATGCTAGTCAGGCACGGACATCTTTAAAAGGGGACAGATTCGTGGAGGACAGGTCTATCAGTGGCTACTAGCCATAGTGACTCAGGGGAACCTTCATGCTCAGGGCAATCAACCTCTGAGTTCCAGTGCTACGAGGCGACATTAGGGGGAAGCTTCAGCCTCTAGGGTCTGTTGTTGGCTTTCCAGAGGAACTGGTTGGCCACTGTGTGAGATGGGATGCTGGACTAGATAGACCACAGGTTTAATCCACCTGGGCTCTTCTTATGCTCTTACCTTCAGCTTTGGGGTTGCTGTATAGTACTGCGGAATATGGCGATTCAGTGTGGCTCAACAGCACCCCATGTCCACAAACCTGATGCCCAACTCAATACAACAATGAGAACCATCAGCAGACGTATTAAACCCACTCTGACCTGTTGGCTACCCTTGTTGTGCCACATCGCTCCCCCGCATCTCCAAAGACAAGATGCTCTTCATGAATATAGAAAGACCTTTGAAAACAGAGAGTTACCCATACACAAAGACATGGCTGACATGGGCCTATCCAGACTGAGATCCCATCACCGAGCAATAAAGTCTGCACAAATCCTGCAATCACAAAATTTCAATCTAGGGAATGAATGGTTGTCAACATGGATGCAATCAGTTTCACCTGATATCCATAACCAGATAATCACCAAGCAGAGGCACGTAGGATTTGACAGGATACAAACAGGCTTTGGCAGTTGTGCAGACCTGTTGCTTAAATGGGGCAAAACACCAGGACCTGGGTGTGATTGTGGTGCAGCCCGCCAAACTCTTTTCCACCTGTCACAGGGATGTGAGCATCGTGCTTTCCAGGGAGATGTGACGGAGCTCTATGAACTCTCCTCAGCTGTAACTGAGGGTACTGAAAACCTAGATATTCGTATTTAGGGGGACTGTCCAATTTGCCTGCATACCTGTGGTATCATATTTTATATCATTATATACTTCCTGTGTGTAACTCTGCCATAAAATAGATAGATGATAGATGCTAGAGAGATAAAGAGATAATCAGAATCCAAGTCCAATGCTCTATCCGCTCTTGTAACCTACAGCTGATAGCTCATGGACTAAATGTTCTGAACTCAAACTGCAGACACTGAATTTGAAATCATAAAAGAATTTTCACAGAACAGGAGCTGTTGTTTGAGCATTGCATAGGACCACCCATGACGCTTGGAAAGTTAAGATTGCAGGATTCCACTGTCAAACGTACCTGTCGGTTTCTCCGGTGGGACAAACAGTGGGTCTGTGGGGCAGTTTCAGAAAAGGAAAATGGTGTGGGTGAGGGAAGGAAGAAGAGGAGGGGTAGGTCTTTACAACCTGCCCTTCTCTACCTTAAGGAGTCTCAAAGCAGCTTATGGTCACATTCCCTTCGGTGGGGCTGAGAGAGTTTTGAGAGAACATTGACTGGCCAAAGGCCCCTGTGACGGACTTACAGCTCTGGGACCAGCAGAGTGGAAACACGGAACCCTGCTGAGTCACATGACTAAGTGAGGAGGGGCCCATTTAGCTCGGAAACCTCGGTGATTGGCATTTAATGGACCAAAGAGTCAGTTTGGAATTGGCGGTTTTGGACCTAGCAGGTAGTTGGAGAGAAGCCGTTGGTCAGTTGATCAGAGGAGTTAGTTGCTGGAGAGAGAGCTAACAGACTGAAGGAGTCAGATCTCTGTAGCTCTGTGGAAACAGCCTGTTCACAGTTTGAGGAGAGAACTGTGGCTGAGGACCTGTTGCCCCGAGTCCCTCTAAAGTGAAAGAGGAGAGTGCACAGAGTGGGAACAGTAAAACACAAACACCAGATACATTCTTCCAGAAGGAACTGGAGGTGGTTTAAAGGTAAAGGTAAAGGCCTCCCTTGCTCGAAAGCCAGTCGAGTCCGACTCTAGGGTTGCGGTGCTCATCTCCGTTTCAAAGGTGAAGAGCCAGTGCTGTCCGAAGACGTTTCCGTGGTCATGTGGCCAGCATGACTAAACACCAAGGCGCACGGAACTCTGTTACCTTCCCACTGAAGTGGTACCTATTTATCTACTTGCAATTTCTTGCTTTCGAACTGCTAGGTTGGCAGGAGCTGGAACTAGAGACGGGAGCTCACTCCGTCATGCGGCAACCTGGGTCTCGAACTGCTGAACTACCGACCTTCCACAGCCTGCAGTTCAGCGTCTTAACCACTTGAGCCACCGCAGCTCAGGGAGGTGGTTTAGAAAGGGCTAAAGAGCGGTCTGGCAGGAGTCTGGGAAGCTGGTCTGGTGACCCGGGAGACTCAGAGAGACCTGTTAGTAAAAGCCAAAGGAAAACCACAAAGTAGTTGCCAGAGTGGGAGTATAAGCGTGTTTAGTGAACTGATGAACACCTGTGTATGAACGGAAAGTAATAAACATACAGCCTAAGTGAACGTAAAGGCAAGAACTAAAGTCTGAAAGGAAACAAAATATCCTTTGTATATATATTCCATCCTCCTGTTGTGTTGTTTGTAAATAAAGCCTGTTCAGCTTTAAAGTCAACAAGCCGTGGTGCCTATTTAATGGTAAAGCAAATACACTAAGCAGTGGTCCTTACAAATATCCCTGACCAAGAAGAAATAAATTAAAATACCCCGAAGAGACTATTATAGATTTGTACAGAGGACTGGTCAGAAAAAATTATCAGCAGCTCTGACCAGGTACAACATGTAGACCCTCACAGTGGTTGTTGTTGTTCAGTCGCACAGTCGAGTCCGACTCTTCGCGACCCCATGGACCAGATCCCGCCAGGCCTTCCGGTCTTCCGCCATCCTCTGAAGTTGGCTCAATTTCATGTTCGTTGCATCGATGACACTGTCTAAACATCTCATCCTTTGCCGTCCCCGTCTTCTTTGACCTTCAGTCTTTCCCAGCATCAGGGTGTTCTCCAGGGAGTGCTCCCTTCTCGTTTGGTGGCCAAAGTATTTGAGCTTTAGTTTCATTATCTGGCCTTCCAGGGAACAGTCAGGGTTGATTTCTTTGAGGATTGACTGATTTGATCTCCCTGCAGTCCAAGGGACTCTCAAGAGTCTTCTCCAGCACCATAATTCAAAAGAATCTATTCTTCGGCGCTCGGTACCGCCAGTAGAAAGGGGGCACGTGTCATAGTCACCCAGTAGGCTTCATGTGGAGGAGGGGTGGGGAACCACACACAATTTTCCAGATTAGAGTCTGCCACTCTTCACCACTACACCACCCTGGCATAAACAACCCTTCCCCTCAAACCACAGCACTGTCCTGAATTGGGCCCCCCGCCTGCCTTCTTTTTCAATTGGGGGGGGGGAAACCTGCTGGAAACTCTATTCACAGGCTCCTCCCCGGTATCCCATAGAGTAGAGCCTTCAGGCAGCCAGAGCAAGACCGAAATCCAGCCAGCTCCAGTGGAGGCCAGGAACTGCCCGGTCAGAGGCCATTAAAAGCTGCTGCTGCCGCCAGGTGAGGCTTGCTTTGTGCCACCTTCTGACATTTAGTGGGTGTCGAACACAAGACCTTTTGAAGCTTCACTTGGCCTCCTGGCAGCTTGGCAGAGTCAAACTCTCTCCAGAAAAAGAAACTCATCACATAGCGACTGGGGTGTTGCCAGATTACTGCAGATTTTTAGGCCCCACGGCAGGTCTGTAGCCAGGAATTCCTTGTTTATATGTGTGTGTGTCTTTTTAAAAGTTTGGTTTGCATGGCTGTGATGATAATCTAGAGTGCTGGAATCAGGCAAGTGATATGATTGGTGAGTGACAGAGAGGGGGAGGGGTTTTGGAATGGATGCTGTGTGGATGATTTGAATGTCTATCAGGAGTGACAGATAGTGAGATGACTGTTGAGAAAGACAGTTTAGTCAGTCAAGTTCTGAGTTCTGTGAGAGAAACAGCAGTTAGTTAAGTTTTGTCTCTGAGAGAAGGAGACTCATCCCTGTGTGGGATAATTTGGTTCTGTGTAGTAAAAGAGTTAAGCAGTTTGTTCGTTTTAAGGTCTGAGAGAGAGAAGTCTTGTGTGTGTTATGAAAAGTTGAAGTATAAAGAAACAGTAACCGTATGTGGCCTGAAGGAAAAAAGTGTTACTAAGTTACATGCCCAGATCCCTGTCAGTAAGAGAGAAAAGTGTGTGAAAAATCAATAAATCTACTTTTATTTAAGATACCAGTACTAAAGAAATTCTTCCCAGGAAACACATAGTTCCCTGAAAGCCTAAAATCTCGATCCACCTACCCTGTGATGGGAATATTAAAGGAAAAAGTTTGGAAAGCCTTATAAAATTTCCTGGTGGCAGCCGGATACCCAAAGTAAAATAAAATAAAAGGAACACTTTTAAAGTAAAACCAGACTTCCCCAGTTAAGGGGTCGTCACAGGGGCATTTTAATTCTTTGGGGGGCACTGGCTAAATCAAGTTAAAGGTAACTCGCATGCTTCAGCTGGCCCCAGAGAGAGGTAAGGAGAAGCAGCGGTGCAGGGGGAGTTCATGGTGGCCACCACATCTTGCCAGAGAGTGGGGGGGGCTGGGCTGAAATGAAGGGGGGCCTTGGCAGGAAGTCGGGGGCCAGGCCCCCAAATGCCCCACTGTCGCTGCGGGCCTGCCCCACGGCCTAGCGGCGACGGATTGAGCTGTAGGAAATAGAACTCACCTAGACACACGGCTGCAGAGAAAGGCTACCTGCTGAAAACCTCCCCAGAGATCCCCTCACTAGAAATGTCACGCATGCAAAGCCTGTGTGCTCTGCTGCTGCTGAGGAATGGGTCTCTCCAGTCACAGGCACAGGGACCCCAATCCAGTACACACATAAAGCATGATATAGATGTATTTGCAGAGACTCCGTTCTCACAATCGACCCACTCACATGTTTTGCAGCTTTATGAAGAACAGCAAAGCCCATTTGGCAGGGACAAGAAGGGACAACGGTGCTCACAGGGACCAACAATGGCTCTGTCTCTCCACCTCCAACTCTCGGAAGACATTCCCCCCCCCCCAAAAAAAACCCCCCCCCCTCTTTGTCTCTATGGAAAGAGCCAAGCATAAAAATTAGAAATGGCTGCAGTTCCCACTGTTCCCACTAGAGGAGGCAATAGTATAACTTCTTTACCGTTTGGTGGATAACAGACAGCGTATTCTTCCATCCCCAGTCTCCCTGTGAAAAGCACAGACAATAAAAAGAGGAAGAGAGATTTAGCAATGCAGCACAGACTGGTCCCCATTCAGAATGTAAATCTGACCCAGATTTGTAGACAGCGAGACACAGCTGGGGAAGTAAAAGGAACGAGAGGGGGCAGCTTGAAAGAGCTTCGAGACGAACCGGCCCTTAACAGGACCCACCAGAGCAGCTCCGACAGAATTAAGAAGTCTTGTATGTGCAACAAGATGTGAGATTTCATCAAGATGCAAAAGTCAGAGTCGCCCGCCATGTTTCTCAAGTGGATTTTAGAAGCTTTTCATTTTGTTTTTTCCTAAGGCACAATCCTTTCCCCCATTTCTGGCTCTGGATGCTGACAAGCCAAGGCAGAAGAGGCGGGGAGGGGGGGAAAGACCCTCGCGCCCCACATTCCTTCCTCCCCACAGCCCTCATTTCAGTGGCACCTGACTTTACGGCCACCATTTCTTCTGAGTGGCGCAAACTACATTGTGCATAGTACACGCTTCTGCTTCTCGGAGGTGCAGCATATGGCTGTAGGGCCTGGGACACTGCATTCCTCACCAGGAGGAGTCAGGGGCCTCAGGAGGTACAACCAGCCCAAGAAGAGCCTTTCTGTTCTGTCCTTCTTACCTGCAGAACAGGATCGTGCCCAATGCACTGAATATCTTAAGAACATAAGAGAAGCCAGTGTTGGATTAGGCCAGTGGCCCATCCAGTCCAACACACTGTGTCACACAGTGGCCAAAAATATCAGGTGCCATCAGGAGGTCCACTAGTGGGGCTAGGACACTATGTTAGCCGAATTGCTTTATTTACAGCAACTGGCAATTCATAAATGGGTTCTTGCCAACTATACCAGGGTCCTGTTCCCACCAAGGGTTACCAGAGAAGGATTCGAGGCTGTTGTTGTTAAAATAAATGTATTTTACTTAAAGAATAAATCTCATACAAACAATACTGATGCACTCACACATTCAATCAAGTTCCTTAGAATTACAGTATTAAAATAAGCACAGTTGCATTAGCAGGTGTTGGATCCCCAAGCCTCGAGAATAAATCCACGTTTTAAAGAAAAGCAAAATTTATTTCAAAGCTTTGGAAAGACACTCAAACACGTTCTTTGTTAGAACTGAATACAAACGGTTAGGGCAAGCATGATAAAGGGATTTGAACCAGGTACAGAACCAATGGGTCACCTTTCCGCTGGCGGGTGAAAGGAAACGGTTGCGCGCTCATTCCCTGAGAACCAGGCTATCTCCAGACATAATACAGGTGCAGTTCCCAGGCTCTAAAAGCAACAAGCTGGCAGTCAAGCGTACTCCCACATCACATCCTCCAGTTGTTTGGCTTAGGCATTACAGCAGAGTAAAATACTGGCGCGCAGGGAGGGGGGGGTTAGCAACTGTACAGAGATACAACTAACACAGAACACCATGGCAGCTTGCTGACAGCAGGTGGGGGTGATGATGGGCAATATTTATCTGTCTCGCAGCTTTGGTTGTTCCAATGAAGAATGGATGGGGGAGAAATGTAAACTAAAGGGAATTCACATACGACCAGAACCAGCCAGAACGTGTGGGTCTCTTGACTGCAGATCAAGAGACCAAAGTAGAGGCAAGGGTTTGGGGATAGCAAGTGGGACTTAAGAGGAGTAAAAAGCAGACAGGGGTTGTTGCGGGGGATGCTAGCTAGGAAGGGCCAGCTGAATAGTCCTTACCTTTTATAGTGGGTCCATTAGACGGGTGGTAACTGTTCCAAACTGTGGACCCACCTACCTGTTAGTCCGTCCCAAAAACAATCCTATTGGTTACCTATAGGAGTGGGAGGTTACCTATAAGGAGTGGCCAATACTGAAACCTAAAACCTTACTCAAAGGATGGCATCTGGGCAGGTGTAAAAACCTTGGTGTCAGGATGCTCCATTGTAGTGTTGATGAAGCTGGCCATTCTCATTGTGAACCAAAGGTAAAGGTTCCCTTGCTCGAAAGCCAGTCGAATCTGACTCTAGGGATGTAGTGCTCATCTCCGTTTCCAAGCCGAAGAGCCAGTGCTGTCCAGAGATGTTTCCGTGGTCATGTGGCCGGCGTGACTAGACACCAAGGTGCACTGAACGCTGTCCTAGCTATACCTTGTGGCTAATAGCCAATGATGGACCTCTGCTCCATATGCTTATCTAATTCTTTCATGAAGCTGTCCATGCTTGTAGCCACCGCCACCTCCTGTGGCAGTGAATTCCATGTGTTCATCACTCTTTGGGTGAAGAAGGACTTCCTTTTATCTGTACTTGTTCAGTAATATCAGAGTTCAAACACACACACACACAAAAAGTGCAAGCATTCCTTCTTTGACTTAGATGAAGCAATCATATACTTTTCAGCACGATCTAACCAAAGTTGACATCTTTAAAAACAGTTTTTATTCGAGAGCTATTATTGCTTTAAATGCTGCATGAAGTTGGAATTTGGGTGACATTGGTGGTTTAGGTTGCAATGTGAATATTATTATTATCATTATTATTATTATTATTATTATTATTATTTCGGGGGGGGAGCTAATCATGTGCTTTAAGCCTACCAAACAGCAAGGTTCTAGCTGCCAATAAGTACAGGCCTGTACGGATTTTAAAACAACCATTTTTCTCTCTGAAAACTAACCTAAGAAGGAATATATGATTTGTCACCAAAAGTAAGCTAAAAAAGGGAATCCCTACAGTTTGGTGTAGCGGTTAGGAGCATGGACTCTAATCTGGGAGAACTGGCTTCGATTCCCCACGCCTCCACGTGCAGCTGCTGGTGTGACTTTGGGTCAGTTACAACTTCTCTCACAGCTGTTCTCTCAGGAGCAGTCCTCGAGAGAGCTCTTTGAGCCCCGCCTACCTCACAGGGTGTCTGTCGTGGGGAGGGGAAGGGGAAGGAGACTGTCAGCCACTCTGAGACTCTGAGTGAAGGGCCATGGGGTATAAATCAAGTCTCCTCCTCTTCTTCTTTTAGAGCCCTCTGCTTTTTCAATTTAGAATTTATGTAACACCATGGGGAGCATTCACGTGCTTCCCATACATCACCCTATTATAATCTTTACACTGTCCCTATAAAGTAGGCCAGAATCGTGGTTCCCCGTGTAACAGGTTGTGGGACTGAGGCTGTGAGGGCGGCTTGCAGAGTAAGTATGAGGCAGAAGAGAGTTCTGAACCAGAGACCTGGTGGGCAGCTTTCCATGTTCCTGCTTATACCGCTCTCCTCTCCTCCATTCCATTCTCACAACATTAGGCTGAGAGCCTGTGACCGACCCAAGGTCACCCAGCAAGCTTCCAAAGCGCAGCAAAGATTCAGACCTGGATCTCCCAGATCCTAGCCCAGAGGTGGCCAAACAGCAGCTCGGGAGCCGCAGGTGGCTCTTTCACACAGCCTAATTTAATGTTAATAAAAAGCAAATTTGTATATTTTCCAATAAAAACGTGTGTGTGATATTTACTCATGTCTTGCGGCTCTCAAACATCTGACGTTTATTCTGTGTGGCTGTTACATGAAGTAAGTTTGGCCACCCCTGTCCTAGTCTGACCCTCGAACCACAACACCACAGTGGCTCTTCAAGACTTTTGTTGTTGTTCAGTCGCACAGTCGAGTCCAACTCTTCGCGACCCCACGGACCAGATCACGCCAGGCCTTCCGGTCTTCCGCTGTCCTCTGACATTTGCTCAACTTCATGTTCGTTGCATCGATGACAATGTCTAACCATCTCATCCTTTGCCGTCCCTGTCTTCTTTGACCTTCAGTCTTTTCCAGCATCAGGGTCTTCTCCAGCGAGTGCTCCCTTCTCACTTGGTGGCCAAAGTATTTGAGCTTCAGTTTCATTATCTGGCCTTCCAGGGAACAGTCAGGGTTGATTTCTTTTAGGATTGACTGATTCGATCTCCTTGCAGTCCAAGGGACTCTCAAGAGTCTTCTCCAGCACCACAGTTCAAAAGAATCTATTCTTCGGCGCTCGGCCTTCCTTATGGTCCAACTCTTGCAGCCATACATGACTACTGGGAATACCATTGCCATTCAAGAATACCATTCAAGACTAGCCTGCAATTTTACAAGTTTCTGATCAATTTTCACAACATAGAACATTTTTAGGGGCTTTGTGTGTGTGTGTGTGCGCGCACGCTTGCGTGCCCGGAAGTCATGGTGACTTCTGGCGATGCCTCGTGGGGCCAGGATGCTTTCAGAGAGGTGGCTTGCTATTGCCTGCCTCTGCGTTCCAGCCCTGGTATTCCTTGGAGGTCTCCCATCCAAGTACTTGCCAGGGTCGACCCTGCTTAGCTTCCCGAGACCTGAGGAGATCCTCCAGCTTGCCTGGGCTATCCAGGTCAGGGCCGCAATATTAAATCAAGTTGGAGATTCACGATTATATAACAAGTGGGGGGGGGCCCTTTGAGACTCACAGGGGGGGATCCCATCCCCCCCCGCCCGCTGATCCCAGGCTCCCTTCCGATACCCCCTTGTCACTGAGCCTGGCACGGCTCCGGGCCTCCACAGCCTCTTCCGGGCTCAGCCACGGCGGCAGCAGTATCCAGGAGACGCTCAGGGCTGCCAGATGCTCGAAGCCAAGCCAGTCATTTCTGCAGCAAAAAAGGCTTTATGGTCTGCAACGGAGAGCGACTTGGGCCGGGGAGACCCAGGCTCAAATCCACAGTCGAGTAAACAGTACAAGGAACCACAGTGTTTGGGAGACTAAGGATGCAAAACACACTGTGCATATAGAACATGCACCAACAGAGATTTTAATAAGCTGTACCACGTGCAATTCGGTATCTATAAAATTCTATTCTGTGAAACACCTAGTTTCTGTCTCTATTATCAACCGCATGATTCCTCTATACAATTTCGTCATATCAAAAGTCTCTAGTTTAAGCTTAAATATACAAGACCTCAATAATGTCTACAACAGGAACGTCTGAATTCACAGCATATGAAATTCAGCAGGTAAATTCAGCAGGAAAGTCCAATGCAGTACATCAAGGTCAGTTGACTCCAGTTTTACAGGTGAAAATTCAACAGGGAAGTTCAACAGGAGAATCCAATGTAGTGCATCAGGTACATTACCTCTGATTATGATGTCCTCTTTATCCTTTGGCTTCTCTCCACTGAATTATGTCAGTTTCACTTCTGGCTTTTACTTTAGGCTTATTAATTTCACTTCGGGCTTTAATTTTTGGCCTAAACCGGCAGCCCGTTTCCAACCATGCTTCTTCAGAAGCCATACAAATTGATATTGTTTCAAACAGAAAAGCCTCAAATCAATATTATTTCAAACAGGAAAACCGATGTTCTTCTCAATAACCCCCCCTCCTCTTAAAGCCTCAAATCGATGGAAGGCATCATGATGTGCAATGCACATGATTGGAAGGCACAGGAGTAGTTTAAGAGTTTTTCTTCATAAGGTAAGAGAGGTCATTCATGAGAACCTGACTGAGAAGAACACAGGCTTTCCTGTTTGAAATAATATCGACCATTCAGAGAAGAAGAAGAGATTGGATTTATACCCCGCCCTTCACTACCCAAGGGAGTCTCGGAGCAGCTTACGAACTCCTTTCCCTTCTCCTCCCCACAACAGACACCCTCTGAGATAGGTGGGGCTGAGAGAGCTCTTGACAGAAACTGCTCTTTTTCAAGAACAGCTGTGCCAGAACTATGGGTTGCCCAAGGTCATCCAGCAGGTGCAATTGGAGGAGTGGGGAATCAAACCCGGTTCTCCCAGATTAGAGTCCGTGCACTTTAACCACCACACCAAACTGGCTCAATATATGGTTGGTAACAAAGATAGAAACGAGGTGTTTCATAGAATAGAACATTATAGATATTGAATCACATGGGGTATAGTTTATTAAAATCTTTGTTATAGTTTGTATATTCTGTATGCACGGTGTGTTTTGTATCTTTAGTCAAATTCATACTCGGCTGTGAATCTGGTTCTTGGATACTCCCATTTTGAAAGCCCACCTACCTTGAAATGTCGCTAAATTGAAGGATCCCTCTATAAAACAGAGGAAAGTTCGCATAACTCCAAAACCTCCTCCAAGAAAAAAACGGACAAATAATTGTTTACAAGCAGCATTTAAAAAACCACACACACACACGTTTCTTTACCTCTAATGTACGACTTGGGTGGAGTCGCACTGTTGTACACAAAGTGTTGCAGGACCGAGGTGTCTCGAGAAAAACACAGCAAAACCTGTTGAAAACAACAGTGAGAGACTCTGAAACTCCTCAGGAAAGACACAGCCCTTAATTAAAAGGCAGATTGCTAGAACTGGCATTTCCCCATGAGCTCGTGCTGTGTCAAAATGCAATCAATCTGCATACACAATGGGCCTTGTCTTTAAGAGCTGATTAACATTTTGTTAACGAGGAACGTGTGCATTCGAGCCCCTGCTTCTGGCTCTTCTAAATCTTGTAGAAAGTGCAGACGCCCTTCCGTTAACCTCCATCACTGCTTCGGTTCCCATTTGCCTGGCCCTGTGCTAAGCCTTTGTGTATATTAATTAGTCCTTGCTGTGGCCTTCAGGGACGTGGGCGTACCTTTCTGTTTCTAGGAATATCTGCTTTTGGTTTCTCTGGGGGTATCCATCCTGGTGGACTGGACTGGAGAAAGCAGCAGCCGCTCCCCAAAGAAGCAAGAGATGGCTACTGTCCAAAAGGTACATGCTGAGACTGCATGTCTCAGCCAAGGCTTCCTCTAAGCTGTGGAGTCTTGTGAGCCAAAATTCTACTTTGTGAGCGACTGGCATTAAAGTTGTGAGCGGGCGATTAGGCTACTGCATAAATTAGTTTGCTCTGGAGCCCTCCTTCCTGAGCTGAGATAAAAATGTGTGAGATGGAGGCTCAAAAACTGTGAGCTGGCCCACCCTAACTAAGCTTAGAGGGAACACTGGTCGCAGCACAGGCAAAAGCAACAGCTCCTGGGGAGTCTCTCTATGGAGAGACCCACCCGTGGTACTATATGCTGTCAGCAGAGAGTCTGCTCCCTAGGAATCCAAAATATCAACAACGTGCCTTACAATAATTCAGATCTGGAGATCTTTGTTGTAATGTCCATTCCACCTCTCATTGTCTTCACCTAACGGCATGTAATCCTGACCACACTTTAAGACACAGAATCCAGAGCATTTCCATGGTAATTCCATTTAGAAGCACCACGGGGGGTCGGATTCGGATTAAGGCTACTGTGTGGAAAGGAGGCACGCCTCCCGCCCCCAGCACCATTTCAAGAGCTGAAAGGGCCCAGGTGTTATGTGCTCTGTTGGGATGCCTCTCCAGGGCTGTTTCAGCTCAGGAAAGCAGCACGGGGTGTGTGTGTGTGTGAAAACAAAAGTCCCTCCCCCCCCACGCCATAGTCCTGATCTAAATTGGGCCCCTGCAGGCTCTAGGAATGCACAGGCACTATTTGGCTGTGAGTCCCCACAGCGATCTCTTGTAGAAGGGTAACGTGTAGTTTGGCCGTAATTGGACAAGTGACAGGAGCCAGGGCAGGAAAGCCTCATTAATCTTCCCTTTGTTTCACCGGAATGCTTTCAGGGCCATGGCGATGGTTCCCCACAAATCATCTGCTCAGACAGCTCCTTTTTGTTTAATATTTTTGCAAACACAGTCTTCCGATAATCGTATTTGTCAAAGGAAAGCAAAGACGTCTTGGAAAAAAACCAGCTGCACTTCTGATGGAGGACATAATAATTTTCTGCTTGAGATACTGTTCTAACCTTCTTGAACGGCTTACAGTCCCGCAGATAAAAAGATTTATTTGGGCAACAGAATGCCTTTATCTTAAACACACATTTCAGATTCGGCACTGCTTATCGGTTGGCGATCTTGGTCAAATGGCCAAAACGCAGTTCGCCCGGCAAAGGAATAAAAACCAGGAACAATTAAAAGCCAATTTATATCAACTGGGGTGAACTGATGGAGAAAAGTAAAGAGTCAGTCGGACCTGAGATCGTGGGTCCAAAGGCGGCTGCTTCCTGGCGCGCTCCACCCAGCTCCGCTTCATGACCCTTCACAGGTAAGCACGTTCTCCTTGCCTACCACAGGTACCAAGTACTGTCCTTCCCAGCAGTGAGTCGAGCTGAGCTCGTGGCACATCTGGAGGGAACGGACTGGGCAGGCAACAAAGACCCAGCAACAAAAATAGGAACTCCCCCCCCCCCCAAGGATAGGAAAAGGGGCTCATTCAATCCATGTCTACATTTCATTTCTACTCTGCCTTTCTCCAGTGGGGACCCGAGGAAGCTTATATCTTTCTCCTCCATTTTATCCTCACAACCAGGGGTCATTTCGTAGAAAAAGAGGTGCAGGAGCTCATTAGCATCACTCATTAGCATAGCTTATTTGCATATGCCACTCCCCCTGACATCACCGGAAGTGTGTCAGAAGGCAACACCCATTGCTCAGGCTCCACTGGACTGTTTTGGATTGCTAGCTATTGGGGGGCGGGGAACGTGCAGATCTGTCCTCGCAGAGGAGGGGGAGCTTGTACCTGAATAAAACCGGGTCTTAAAGGTGCCACTGGATTGTTTTGGACCGGGGGGCTGGGGGGTTCTGCAGCTTACCTGGCTGCTTCTTGCTCTGACTGAGGGCTGCTGGGAGCAGGGGTGGGGCTTGTTGCATGTGCCCGCCCCCTGGGCTCTTTACTGCCGGAGCTCCGCTCCTGCAGGAAATGACCCATGCTCACAACCACCCTGTGATGTCAGTTAGGCTGAGAGTGCGCGACTGGCCCAAGGTCAGTCTGGCTCGTGGCAGGCCGGGGAGTGGAACCTGGGTCTCCCGGATCCTTGTCTGGCACTCCAACCACTGCACCACACTGACTCTCCCCTTTCCCCAAGGATACCTCTCCCCTCTTCGCAGGGCTGGCCATCTGAGAAGAACTTTGAATGAAGACCTGAGGTGGGAAGGAAACTGAGCAGCCCAGAAACTGTCTGCCAGCCAATGGGCAAGCTTTCACACCTCCACTCACGCGTGAGCCACAAAAGGATGCATTCGGTTCAAATGGCCAGGGTCCAGCCTACCTGAGGGACCACCTTGCCCTACATGTTCCCCCAAGAACACTACGGTCGGGGACCTAAAATTTGTTGGTCATCCCGGGTCCCAAGGATGTGAAACTAGCTGTGACCAGGGCCAGGGCTTTTTCGGTGGTGGCTCCTACCTGATGGAACGAGCTCCCAGGGGAGATCCGGGCCCTGCGGGACCTTGAACAGATCTGCAGGGCCTGTAAGACGGAGCTCTTCCACCAGGCCTTTGAGTAGGAGCCGCCGCCCCATTATACCACCACCATCAAGGTATCTTAAAGGATGCATCGATGAGGCCCGAGGAAGAACCTGGAAACCATTGAAGATCTGACAAGCTGTTGCCATTGGACGCGTATACTATGGGAGGACCATCTGGAACTGCGGTGTTACCATCTTGGATTTAGGATATTAGTAATGGATTGAGTTACTGTGGTTTTAGTGTTGGATGTTTTACTATGTTTTATATGTTTTTACCTATGGCATGGCAAATGACCTTGCCCTTGTTAGCCGCCCTGAGCCCACTGGGAAGGGCGGGATACAAATATAAAAATAATAATAATAATAAATAAATAAATCCCCATGGCTGCCATACTGGACCAACACCAGGCCACTCATTCTCACAGTCTACGCTATCTCACGGGGTTGTTGTGATGTTAAAATGGGTGGAGAACTCTTGTCCACAGCCTCGAGCTCTTTGGAGGAAGGGCGAAATACAAAAGCACCAGACAGAATCATGAAAAGGGAAGACCTGGGCCTTCTCTCTCCCAGTTAGGCCACCCCCCCCTCCATTATATCTGCACGTTTACCAAGTTGCCCTAGTAGCCCAGCCCAATCTCATTGGAGCTCGGAAGCTGAGCAGAGTCAGCCCTGCTCAGTACTTGGATGGGAGACCAGCAAGGAAGACGCCAAGGGAGGCAATGGCAAACCACGTTTGCTCGTCTTTTGCCTTGAAGACCCCCATGGCCCTGGGGTCGCCAGTTGCTACTTTATGGAACACAGGTATTATGTTCAAGTTACCCCTGCTGCGGGCCAGAGAAGCACTCAGACGGAAGCTGTTCCAAGTGCTCGACACACTATTCGTCTGCAGCCAGCCAGAGTGAAGCGTGAAAGGAAAATTACCCTGTGGCCACAAATGTACTGATCCTGCTGCATGCTGGGCTGAGGCAAGGGGCTAGCAGAAGAGCCTCTTCAGTCAGGGGAAGGCACACTTGCTCCAGAGGAAACCACCACTCACAGTGGAAGCGACCCACAGAATCCCACACAATGTGGTTTCCCAAACGAAGGCCTCTTACTTCACAAGGAAGAATCGCCAAGTCCGAGGGGCTGCATCGCTAGGGTTCCCCACGGGCCCCTCCCTTCAACAGAAGCTTAAATATGTGGAAATAGAAAGCTGAAGCTCTTCTTGGCTTGGAGGTAAACAGCACCCGGCTAAGCCTCCATCAAAGAGAGGACTTTTCTTTCCCTTCTCCAGGCAGGTGGCCACCCTACGCCTACCAAATTTCCCGACATTCCCCCTAGAGCAGTGATGGCGAACCTTTTAGAGACCGAGTGCCCAAACTGCGACCTAAAACCCCACTTATTGATCGCAGAGTGCCAACACGGCAATTTAACCTGAATACGGAGGTTTTACTTTAGAAAAAACAACTCATGCCTTAACTTAAGATGATCCAAACAAAGTAAGGAAAACAATTCCCAATGCTTTCATTGACTTACAATTATTTGGCAGAGAATTCGACACTTTAATGATGGTCTGGTCTTGGCTGGGGAGATGGCACGCGTGCCCACAGAGAGGGCTCTGAGTGCCACCTCTGGCACCCGTGCCATAGGTTCGTCACCACTGCTCTAGAGTGTTCTTGCTCACAGCAAACCTGTTTCAGAGACCATCTGGGCAAAAGATAGTTGAGAAAGTTCTTCAGGAGAGGAGTCACAGCCCATGGGAAGGATTACTTGCCGCCCTGTTCGCGCTCACTGATTCTCCCCTGCGAAGAATATTCCTCTGCCTTTCTTAAAGGAGGGGATGGAATCCCAGTTTTGCTCACAATGTCCACTTTTGACCTAAATCACTTTGGGAAATTGCTATAAGGCTGCCCCCCCCCACGACCTAGGTGGCCCAGATCTCGGAAGCTAAGCAGGGTCGGACCCTGGTTAGTATTTGGATGGGAGACAAACAAGA